TGTTTGGCTTAATAGGAGATTACTATGATCTCTTAGGAAGCTTAGTCAATGTGTAGTATAGTACACTTGTTAATTTACTTTGCAACATTTATAATCATTCTCAATGAATCAATTTTGTCTCATTTATTTATTTATGACAATTACACAGGGACATTACATGTCAGGTCCAGAAATTGCAATACATAAGCGATCATGCATTTTCAATGACATTCATTGAAATTACCATACAAGATAAAAATAAGCTTGTCCATTTCACTGAATTTTCTCAGCATAAGATTGCCTACCTAACAAATGCATACGAAAAACTAGCATTTCCACTTCTAAATACTAAGTTCAAACAAGCCTTAGGAAGTCTTAAGGAGACCCACTTTTGTAGATTCAGAGACCTTGTACCAGCCTTCATTTTTCCACCATTACTCGTATCTCTGAACTATGATTTGTTTGTTTCAGATGTTATAAGCTTGCTTGATCTTCTTTACCCTTCCTTGAGACACCAAGATATTCGTGTAAGTCAAATCTTTGTGTAGATGTTACTGGCTACTTAGCCTTAGCACGGTCTTTCTAGGTTCTATTAGCTCAGAACTGGCTTTTATTGTTAAATATGCCGGTGAAGCTAGCAGAAATAGCTACGAGTGAAAAGAAAGGTCTTTCTTAGTCTTATCACATTAGCCTATGCCTTATGAATGCTAATACCATAGACGTGGTAGACTTAAGCTAAGAAAAACTTTCAATTTCCACTTGCTACAAAATGTGTAATTAAAATCATGTTTTTTGTTGCTCCGCCTAATACTATTGGGTGTTACAACCACGTGAAAGAACCTGTCATGGCCACAGATGTAGTTAAGTGCTTCATGCCAAGATGTATTAGAGGATACCATGTCTCTTAACTTGTTTGGACTGATCCCTTTCTTGGAAAAACGCTAGACTGAAGGAGATAACCAAAAACTTTGTTGACAGATATGCCATCAGTGTTTTAAGAGGCAGTGTTGTAGTCGGTGATTTACTGATACAGATATCAAAGGTGTGATTAATTTCTCTTTGTCAAAGTGTTTCAATCAGTGGTGAAGTTACTTAACGGAGTCATTCAACAGAATTAGTTCAAGGAGGTGCAAAAACCCTTTTGCCAATTTTAAAGGGGAAGAGGAGGGACCTACAAAAAGTGAAACACTTGAAGAAGCAGAAGGATGCATAATTATTCACAAGAATGTAACGCAACACAAAATGTTTTATTTAAGTTTTATTTTAACAGCTACAATATTTATGAATGCTACTATGAAATACTTATAGAGACTCAATGATTATTTAATCGTCAATCATAATCAATCCATTTCATCATTACTAGAGAAAATGCTAATTTTATCAGTGTAACTTTTATTATTGTCTGCTTCTTTATCTTCTATAACTGGTTTACCAGCATCAATAGAAGCTGATATTCCACTACCAATAAAGCCATTAACAATAATTTTTGTAAATCAGGTAAGTATTCAGTCATTTTCACAGGCCATTGTGCACCTAAACACTTCATACATGCTGTTGAAGGATCAACTGCTTGCAATCGCAGTACCACCTTTGAGACTCCCCTCTCAAAAAACACTTCACACTCTTGTATATCTAAATGTTGTAAACCATTGGTACAACACGGAGGAAGTAACACAGCGGATGTTTTTGTTTTCTAAGACTTCAGTCACCTTACCTTCTCAGTGAGCTGACTCAGAAAATGGTCAGATATTGCTAAGGCTGGATGATCATCTGTAAGAGATAGACACAAAAGTTTTGGCTATATATGGTACAATGATTCGATCAATATATTAAATCATAGTATTTTCATTTGACTAGTGATTAGTTAATTGAGAGATTAGCTTATCCTCAGGAATTTATCCTATGAATCAGAAAGAAATCAGAGAAGTTTGTATTGAAGAATGAAGAATTATACTATGTTCCAGGGAAGAATAAAGCGGAATGTATAATAATAATTGTACACATGTCAATTTATTATTAAGTGTTCACAGATGGTGAAGTATGTCAAGAACATATCAGATCAACTGCGAATAGTGAAGTCTTGCCACGTAAATGCCACATCAGGTCATTTTGGTGTTAAGAAGACAGTTGCACAAATCAAAGAGAGGTTCTTGCGGATAGGAGTTTGGAAGGATGCCAAGGATTTGGTAAAATTTAAAAGCTTACTGACACTATTATATTTATACTTGTACATGTAGGTTGCCAGTTGCGATCAATGCCAGAGAATGAATAAAAACCCCATAGTGACGGTGACCGAACTACACCCTATACCTGTTCATGCACCGTGGCACCATGTAGGTATCGATTTCATTGATCCTATTCACCCAACTAGCAGAAGGGGAAATAAATTTGTCCTAACTCTTTCTGATTATTTCACAAAGTGGGTGGAGGCAATTCCTTTACCTTCTAAATGCTCTGTTGGAGTTGCTCAGGCCCTTTTTTAGGTACTTTTGTGACACTACATGTATAATGTACTTGTGTATATCTTTTTATTTGCTTATACAGATTTTCATGAGAATGGGACTGCCAAAACTACTTACAAGTGACCAAGGTGGTGAGTTTAGAAGCGATCTTGAGAAGCAAATTATGAGTTTACTCAGCATCAAAAAACACTTCATTACCCCAACCAT